TTTCAGCCATGGCCTTTTTAATAAAGATCTGTATCACTATAGTGTTTGTGTGTGCGTGCGTGCGCTCGCGTGCGTGTTCATGTGGACCATTCAGACAGTCGTTTCCAAGAAGATGATGGGTTCCCACTCTGGTATGTATCTCATTTGTCCTTTTCGTTTGAAGCCGTGGCTCCACTCGTCCCAGCTCCTCTGGATTTGGAGCTTTTACAGGAGCAAGCGAATGCAAACAGGACAATACTTTATGAAGTGTGCTTTTTAGATTTTAGCAGGTCACAATAATTGGATTGTGTTAATGGAGCTTTCGCAGTGAATTTAGCTTTTTTTAAAATGAATGAACTGTTGCTCAGTAGCTGGGAGCAGCTGCTCATTGGGATAGCTTAGTGTTAAAAAAAAAAAACATTTAAATAGCTGGAGAGGCTAAATCAAACTGCAATAAATATCTTACAGCATCTGAAACTTCCGAATCAAATGTATGCAATGAATTTAAAAAAGTTTGATCAATTTTGGAATGTAGTCAATTCTCATAATGAATATGCAGCATAAAAAACATTATTGCTAAAATGAGGATCAAGGATCAATTAAATGGGTTAAGCAGATATTGAGTATAGAGAACACAGATATGCTGAAATTGATTTCTATACATCGAAGGAGATGCAGCTACCTATTGTAGCCCCGCACAAGCACACCCAATAATATCAAGCGCGCGCAGTGGAATACTGTCGATCTATTGGCTGGTACGGTTGCTAGGCGAAGACGGCACTCCTTGATCGCGAAGGGGCAGAAAATAATTTGCAAGCGAGCAGTGGGGTTTGCGAGCGCAGATTTAATCCCCGCAGAGAGAAAGTTTGCGCACGAGGAGAAAATCTGAGGGAGAACAACAGAGAATATTTGAAAGACAGCAGATGCTTTTAGTGGAAACATTACAAGTTTTGAGAGCAGAGACGACATCCGACTTTCAAACTGAAAAGGTAACATTTCCCTATAAATATATACCAAAATCTCGCATAATATTTTGGTACATAGATTCAACATTGCGTTGAATCTGTGTCATTAAGAATTACACTAAATGCTAAAGAGAATCAAAACCCAAATGCAGCAGAAACAAGAAACACGGCAGATAAGTTAATCTTAAGGCTTTTGTAGGCATTTTTTATTTATTTATTTATTTATTTATTTATTTATTTATTTATTTATTTATTACCAGGGATGCCAATAATCATGTAATGTGCTGCAGATCCTTTGACCACCTAATCTCCAGGAGTCAAGGTTGGAGAACCATAACAATTTTCACCTAGTGAATGTTCCCTGGCAGATAAAAGTAGAGGCAACTGGATCCTTCAACCCAGGAGGGTAAACAGTTTGAATGGTCGGTAAAAAAGAAAAAAGAAAAAGAAAAAGAAAGAAAAAAAACTACAGGGAAACAACCTTGAACTGTCTCCTCCTTTGACAGCAACTCCGTATCATTTGGTTTGGAAGAAAAAAAAATATTTTAGCTCCTCATCATTTTTTTTTTTTTAAAAATGCATTTTTTTACATACTTTTTTTATGGTTCCTTCACTTCCTGCACACTTCTCATGTTAAATTAATTCTCAAAACAGTAGAAACAAGGAGCCCGTTTGCAGAATCGCCTGCTGTAAAACCATTTTGACGTTTTCATTCACGTTGACTTCTTTTTAATGTATGTAGCGCCCTTTTAAAAGGCACCGAACACCCCCCCCCCCCCCCCTTTTTTTTCCCAACCTTCTGGATCATTTTTATAAGCAAACTTTCCTTTTAACCCGAGGAATCCGATTCAGCGGGAGTTCATTAGCTGCACTGCAGAGTCTCTAACGCGGCTGCCTTCGTGTTGCTGGAAATCAAACAGGTTTTTGTACACCTGCGGAGGAAAACACTTTGAAAACCAGCCTCTTTTCATTGAAAGAGTAAAATGAAAGTTAAGAAGTTGCCGTGCCACGCCGGGCTGTAGACAAAAATCGGAGAGATTCATATTCCATGCGTGTACATTATGTCGTTTCTCATTGTGAATGTTTTACCTGGTAGGTACCTACTCTCTCTCTCTCTCTCTCTCTCTCTCTCTCTCTCTCTCTGACAAGCATGCAGACATCATCGCTGTGTGACTCCTTGATGAGACTCTCACGCAGCGGTTCGGCTCTAAATTGAAGCTCAAACTGAGCGCCGTCAAGCCGACTCCCCATCTGATTGACTTCCAGCCGCTCTCCCAAAGGCAGTGAGGAAAAAGTTCAGAGTGTGATGACTTCTTCGGTGCTGCAAAATGAATTTTAATGAGTTTAGCTCTCAATACGTAAGAGATAAAAGGCCCACTTAATTTCTCAGCTTTTGCTCTCTCTCTCTCTCTCTCTCTCTCTCTCTCTCTCTCCCGCTCTCAAAGCAGCCAATAAGGTCTTATCTCATGGCCAGCAGGGCAAATCCTTTTAAAGGTGGTCTTATTGCAGACGCTTCGGTCTCATTGTTCTTGTGTCAGATGTCGGTGCCCGGTGGCTTTTCACTGCTCGCTATGGGACATGAACACAGAATCCTATTCATTTTCTATATGCTTATTCTCTGACATCAAACACGTTGGCTTTCTCCACTAAACGCTGTATGTGCTTGGGTTTTTTTTTTCTTTCCAGAGATAAACTGAAAAGCATAAGCTCTTTATTCTTTTTGTGTGTGTGTTTTGTGTGTGTGTGTGTGAATAAATTTTATGCTAAACAGATGCAAATTTATTCAGAAACAAACTCTGTATTATTTATTTTATCCTCTTGTGAGAAAACATTGCAAATTCTCATCTCTAACAATTACGACCATATTTAGATGTCGGCCAAGAAAAGACCAATTCTTTACAGAGCCTCGCTTTTGCAGTATTCTGTGTGATTTTTTTTTTCTTCTCGTTGTCTCATCACAACCACAACTGTCAGTGGATTTTATTTGCAATTTATGCGATTGAACCAAACAAACAAAAAAAATTGGAAGAAGAATAATTTTCTTCTTATTTTCCATCTGTCCACCCAACAGCTCCACTGTCTAAACCCGCGGGTCCAGGCAGGTTGCAGGGGGGCTGGTGCCTCTCTCCAGTGGGACGGGGAACCAGTCCATCACTGGACAAGATAGAGACCCAAACCCACAGACACACATAAATATGTTTACCCATAAGGTGGTTTTATTAGTTTTTAATTGACGTTTTCATATCAAATGTGGGGTTGAATAAAATCCAAGATATAGATTTTATTTGCAAAAAAATAACTAAACCTCACTCATTTTACAATGGTGCTGCTTTGTGTTGGTCATTCCAATAGAAGGCACTAAGAAATCCACAATCTCTTCTCAGCCGGCTATGCTTTGGTCTACGCAGTTCCTCCAAACGTCAGCCTTGAGTTTCTGCCAGTTCCGTTCCCAGAACCGCGGTGCGTGTGGGCTCCAGTGTCAACAAAGTGCCTTTTTATAGCGTGCAGCGCGATGGTCAAGCTACATATCTGTTAGAGGCTGTCAGTAAGCTGCCCCTCATCCAGGGAAACAAGGAGCCTCCGCTGTCATATTTAGCATGACTGGCGTGGGGAATGTCTATAAATCCAGCACTCATCGCCGTCATCATCTTGGTTATTCCATGCTTCACTGAGGCCCCGTGAAATATTTTGGCACAAATGCGATCGTAAATATTTTAGTCTATAAATACAGAAGGAAATGTTTTTTTGAAGCAACTCGTCCTATTTTGTTTAATTGTTACTTTGCATTTGTGTTGGCAATTATTAAGCCCTAATAAAGTCATAATTGAAGGTTTAAAGAATAGTGGCAAGCAAGACATCAAAGCTAATTTCTTAATCTTTTTTAATGTTGATTTTTGTTTCCTGTTAGTCAAAATTAAAGTCAGACTTTAAAAAAAAAAAGAGTGTGAGATTATACCACTATAATAAAATGTTAATTTATTTTAAGGCTTCACATATTTATCAGGAATGGGAACGAAATGTTTACGTGCCCAATTTGTGACGCCTGAGGTCGGTGAAATAATGAAATATTATGAAATATTCAGTTTTATAGAGCCTCATAAATGCATTGGAACCCACACAGCGATTAGAAGAATGCATGTTTTATTTTCCTCTGGTTATCCCCTCACTGTCCTTCTCAGAAGTCGCTTTCTCAAACACTGGAAATTCAACAGTGATTTGTCGTGAATGCGATAACTCCACGTGTCACAAACCGCTAAGCAGTGAGTCTGAATAAGCTGAAGGGGAAGTGACTGATTCAGTTTGATCACAAAGGCGGAGCTGCACAGAAGCTGGGACGTTCTTTGGCAAAATGCTTCCTCTCCGAAACAATTCTCCTTAATAAACCATTAAAGAGCAGCAGCATCAGCAGATGAATATTTGTGACTAAGAATGACTTAACGTTTACTTTCCGAGGCCAGGAGGCTTCCCACTGGGAGACGGAGGCAGGCCAGGGCAAAATCAATTTCCAATCTCAGCAGAGATAAAGACAAAGTTTTTTTTCCCCCCACTAGGCTTCTGCTGAGTTCAGGGAATCAATTTGTGAGAAAATACAACGTGATAAAAAAACAAAAAAAAAAACTCACTTGAGTTTAAACAGGGCAACCAAATTTAGAAGTCATTACTTAAAAGGTGAAGCTAAAGCAAATTTGGAGTTAATCTGCATTTGTTACATGGCGGCCTGAACAACTGAGAGCTGTGTAATCCCAATAGCTCAGGGTGGGAAAGGTCAGAAAATGGAGGACCAACCTGCCTAAACAAGAAAACACAGCAATGATGATGATGATGATGATGATGATAGCTACCTCATCAATTTCAAAGGTGCCTCCACAAAATCACTTGTGTGTTTGTTTGCATCTATGTTTGCAGTGGATGCTTGGCCTTCCTGTGATAGTGTCTGGACAAAGTTGCTGCAAGCTCACACAAGCACACGCGCGCACGCAGAGGAGATTCGGTTTTTACAATCAAAGCAGCCCGAGGTCAGGATGTAAATCTTTGCACTTGCCCCCACCACCCTAATCACCTTTTTATAACCCCACAAAAACACCCCCTCATTTTGTCCTTACTGCCTTAGCTCTCTGCTAAAATAAACCCAGTGAGGTAAGTGCCGGAGGCATCCTGAGATGAGTTTTATACAGTCTGTTCCTTCAGGGCTGAGGAGTGTCCGAGCTGAGCGGAGAAGCATCCCAGATCCGTAGTGGGACGAGGAACAAAACCCAGAAGAAAACGAGAAGGAAACACAGGTAAGGCTGCAAATAAAGGCTTTCTAATCATTTGTGCGCTTTGACATGAGGCACGATTAGACTTAACAGAGTGAAATGTATCCAGGGACACCGTGTGTAATTTTTGACGCTATCTGGTCAGAGAAATGTTAGCGAACAACATGCATATGTCATTAAATAAAATTAAAACCGATATACAACTTCATACCTGAGGCAAGTGTTTGGCACCAACAATAACGTCATTCTTCTTGAAACTGTTAAAGAGATTTGCTCTATTATTCAGTATTTATGTAACACAAATCCCATTTTAAAAAGTTTAATTTGCTCAAATTATGTTTAAGGCGTCAAATAAACAAACTGTTACCCGAGCACATACGGAACATGTTTTTGTAAGAGAAGGAGGATATAACTTAAGGGGTTACTCAAACTTAAGGGTTCGTAATATTCACACAACAGGAAGGAGCTTTTGCATTTCAATTCATGGTGTGAAACTATGGAACAAATTAAATGAGGAGTTAAAACTTAGACATATGTAAACCCAGATAAAATGGAAAATTAATTAACCGATGTTTATTTGTTTCATTTTTATTTGATTTAATAACGAGGGTCCATCTGAAAATATGGTATGAGTTTATGGAGTAAGGAGTTCATAAGTTTCTGACCTCGACCTTCTCCTTTTCGAGCAAGTTAAGATTATTGTGGTACAAAAATGTGTGTCTTTTGCATTTTTTTTATTCATGTGTGTGATTTTATACTTCTATCATCTTCAAAATACATAAATAAACAAATGAATATTGATTATACAGCCTGATCATGATTAAGTCAAAACCACTGGAGATGCATTCTGGAGTGGATGGCTTGACGAGGCAGAGGATGCTGCAAGCCAAAGCTCTGTCTCAGGAGGCCAGAGGAGGTAAGAACTTAAAGGACCGACACAAGGGATTTATGTTCACTGTTGGGTTTTTGGGACAATATGGCCAGGAGGGCAGCAGAAGCACATAAAACACAGAGAAGTCCTCTCTCTGTTGCAGCTCAAACAACTTTTTTAAGACCTTATGTCCACGTCAGGTCAGTAGGAATATGTTATGTTATGCAGTTTAAAAACTTTCCAAACTGTGAGGGTACCTGGCTCTACACCACAGCTGGCTACGATGATGTTGCTACTGGAGCTTAATTAATTAATGTAAAATTACTTATTTTTTATAGAGACTGAACTGCATATGGTCAGCGTCGATTCAAAAAATAAAATAAAAATACATAAACTCGTCTGTCTCTGTCCTGAAGATTACTTTTTTTTTTGTAAATCTAAAGAGGAAAAGCCAGAACAGGTCAACGCTGTCCAGCGAACGCAACGATGGGACTTGAGGCACAGCTGCCTGTGAGCACATATGACCACTTAGCACTGAAAAGGCTACAATTCATTTAACTCCTTGTTCTGTCAGACATAAAGTGAGATCACAGCTGGGTGTGTCAGGTGTAACCGAACCAAACATCAAAGGGTGTAGCTTCTCTTCTTGGAAACAAGTGGACACTGATACTCTGAAATCCTCGGAGTGGTAACGCCTGCATGGCCAGCTGGGACTATCCCAGCTGGGCTACTTTCTACTCCGGTCCCGTCCGCTAGTAAGGCTTTGAAAATTATTCTCCTAAACTCAGCAAAACGTGACTCCCACCGCTGAATTATACACAGGCTGATCAAAGGCAGCTCCTCTAGGGTGGCATGGGCCCAGACTTCTCCCAACACTTATCATGTGCGAGTAAAAAGGACCATCTGCTCTGACACAAGTCTTTCATCCAAAGATCCTATTTATATGCCCAGTTTCCCATTTAACTCTGGAGCACAACAAACATTACACACCACTTGACATCATCTCGAGGCTATTTCAGGCCATCCATCATGCCGCAATACAACCTAAGAAGGGACCCCCTGAGCAAAAACTGCATGGATACTTAGTGACGGCACACATGGCTTTTAAATATCAGTCCAGCTCAGCTGTTTCATGTTGACAGAAACAAGAAGAGCACTTGGGACTTCATGACTTGCCAAGTGTCTTTTTTTTCCCCCCCCTTTCTGCTTTCCCTGTCTTTGTAAATTGTTGGAGTTAAAGCTGATTCAAATTTATGAATTGAAATGTGGAAGTACTGGTGTTATGAGAAAAGTCTGACTTTTTCAAAGCTTTAAATGATTTCAGACAGCAGGAAAAAAGTCATTTTAAATCCTGTCGTTTGATTTGTAAAAAAAAAAAAAAAAAAAAAAAGCTGTTTTGCATTTAAGACAAGCAAAGCCCTCCAAGAAAGGATAAGGCAAGAAATACACTACTCAAACTGAGTAGTAAAAAAAAATCTGTTTTCTGAGAACAAAATGAACAGGGAATCTTCAACATATGAGTGGATAAATAAATAATGATACAAAAACAACATGAATAAAAAAACTGAACAGGGTTTCTATATATGTATTACTGTACAATGAATATAAGTACAACGCTGAAGGAATCTGGATGCGCAAATAGAGGATGACTGAACTTAAAACCATTAGTTTTCAGCCCCATAACAAATAATGCATTACAATTATCATATTTATTGTTGCCTCTTTATAAAAGGCAACAATAAAGACATAGATTTACATTAACTACCATAGATTTAATTTTAAAAAAGCACATGTTCACCTTATAGCCAAAGAATTAATTCTGATGCATGAGGGATGGATGAACCATTAGATGAAGTTTAAAATATGCCATGCTTGTTGTTATGAGTTATATGCCCACTTACTGTTTGGGTTAGAGATTGCTTTTAGATCTTATAAGCTCTTGCAAAGGACTGAACATGATCATTTCTATTCATTTGTGGCAACCTAAAAGCCACAAATAAATTAACGTATGCACTGCTACTTGCTTCTGACAGGTCTGAACCTGGGGAAGAAGATCAGCGTACCAAAAGACGTGATGATGGAAGAGCTGAACCTTTCCTCCAATCGAGGCTCTCGCATGTTTCAGGAGAGACAGAGGAGAGCCGAGAAGTTTACGCTAGAGAACGCTGCCAATGGACCTTTCAACACAGAAGTAAGAAATAGAAAACAACAGACGCATTGTAAAATGCTAAAGTATTCTTTTTTTTTTCCTGAGTTTATGTGATAAACTACGCAAAGAGTATTATTATTATTGTGATTTGAGAGAAAAACAACACATAGTTTTCATTCTTTTTGCTCAAGATAATCAATTTTAAGAGTTTGTTGTTCACTCCATGAATCTGGTCTTTATGGGAGAGGAGGAAGAAGACTAAAAGAATGGATAAAATATTTATTTCATTTATTTCCTTCGGCCAAAAGGTGAGGTATAAATTTGCCATTATTTCAAAAAAGGTTTTAATATTGTTTTGGGGTAGATTTCTTGTCCTGCACACTATGTGACCAGTTTTGAATTTGACATAAATTCACCTGTATCCTACACCGTAAACAATCTGTTTTGCTGTTTTGTTCAAAGTGGGTGATGTGTTTCTCCAAATCTGCACACATTTAAAGTTAAATATAATGAAACCAATGAACCTGATGCGTGGCTCAGAAGAAAACCATTATTCCTGTCTCAGCTTGTAGCGCGTTATGTCAGGACACAGCAAGCCCCAGTACTCCAGTCAAATTAGACCAAAATAGAACATTGTGGTCAAAATGCTATTTATGGTAGGAAAATAAGTCTGTCCATCACCCCCGCCATGGTGATGGCTACGACACACTGTGGGTATTTTTTTGTCACAGCAGGGACAGTGAAGCTGATCAGAGTTGATGGGAAATGGGTGGAAGAAAGAGCCTGCAAATGATTTAAGGGTGGAGGTTCGCCTGAAAATGATTAGATTAAAGCTTAGTCGTGTGTTAGTTTAGTCCAGTCAAGTCCGGACATAAGTCCAATAGAGAATCTGTAATAAGATGGCACAAATGAATTCCAAGGTGATCTTTAGCAGTTTCATGCACTGGAGTGAAAACCATGTGCCATTTTCCTTTCACTTCACAATTGCAACCTACTTTGTATTGCATTATCCCATGAGGCTCTACATTTTTTTTTTGGTGTCTTATTAACAAAGCAGATTTTTTTTAGCTATGTTCCAATCAAATATTCAAATAATAAAAAAAAATGTATACAAATATACATTAAACTCAGGTCTGCATTAGTTAGTATTTAATGAGTGGACGTCTTTGGTAGGCGTATCGTATTCCTGAGGTTAAACATTTGATAAGCTTTCCCACGGTTGCTATTTCAAGCAGAGTAGCATCACTGTTACAGCCAAAGCATAAAGCCAGTCTTGTATACATTTACAGGAACCCTAATCAGTGTGTATCCTGTAGGCTCATCTTGAACTCAGTCCCCCCCTGCAGTCAGTCTCCATGCCGCAGGGAGGAAAAGAGAACCAGGCTTTCTCCATCCCCGGTAAGCACAGCCTGGTCATGAACCTTCAGAAGACTGTAGCAAAGAAGGGCAATCCCAATGTCCTGGCTCCAGGTAAATGGTAACACGCTGCGAAAAAAAAAAAAAAGTACAAGCTCAGACTGCGCTTTCAGCATTGCCGGTGCTTGAGGAATATGCATGGACACTGTTGCACCACGACATGCCAGAACTCACCTTTCCAATCGCACTCCCAGCACATTAATTTGTTTTATTATAATCAGAGCCAGGGGAGCTGGCAGTTTGTGGAAAGCAATTATCTTGTGAGCATCTTTGCTGAGGGCTGTTGTATATTTGGCCTGGCAGAAAGCACTGCTTCCAGTCTGACTGATGAGCAACTAAGCTCCGTTTATTATCAGGGATTCACACTGAGGTCTCATTACTGTCATTCCTATTGCTGACAGGAGTGACATCAGAGAGATTTGTATGTAAATTTTTATCCCCATGCGCTTCGAAACAGCATGTTATTTTTATTCAGGGTGTGGGGGTTGAATTTAATTGAACAGTTTCTCAACTGAAAGTACTCAAAATTACTCAAACACATCCTTGGCTTTACTTTGGGTTGGATCCTGCTTCACTGCTATCACGTTTTCTTTTTTTTTTTCTTGGCCAGGCTACTCTGGGCCCCTAAAGGAAATTCCACATGAGAAGTTCAACACAACGGTAATCCCCAAATCCTACTGCTCCCCATGGAGGGAAGCTTTGGGAGGCAGCGAAGAGCTTCTGAATACGCTCAACACCCAGCTGCCACAGCCCCCACAAAGACTACAGCCTGCTAACTACAGGTGCTTCAACAGGTAAATCCTTCCCTCCATCACCTGATAGGTCTCTGCGAGTGAATCAAACACATAAGTTTTTTTGAAGCACGGACGCCGAGGCCCGTCCGTCTCCAAATAGACCCACAGATGACCTAACCAAAGAGATCCATTATCATCTGTTCCCCCGGCTCCGGTCCATGTTTCCACAGGTTGAAAATTAATCCAGTGTCTGGCTTTCAGCTCCTTGGACTGTGGCAGCATGGTGGTTATTTTCATCTCTGGACCTTGACAGATGATCCACAGGAAGGAGGGGAGAGCGGGGGTCTACAAGCTTTCATGACCCAATAAGACATATAGCACACGGAAAGGGAGTCGTCTTTCACATGACATACGTGCAAGACGGAGCAAATGTGAAGCCAAGGCAGATGGGGAGATGAGGCCGGCAGGCGAGACAAACTGAAAGAAGCGCTGTCAGTCAAACTGATTCAGTCCGCCTGTGAGGAGGAACTGCACCCCCTGTGGAGAGATCCTCTTACATCCTTAAGATTATTATGAAATTACAGCGTCTTAAAGCTGAACTCTATTCGTTGGGAAGAGAGGTTGAGTTCAGGGCGCACCCAGTTTTACTGGTGTTAAACCCTGGTGGGTTTAAAAAAAAAAAAATAAAAATCTAGTTTGAAGCAGTGCATATCATGTGTCATGTAAAAGATTTTCCCTGTTACCTCAAGCAGAGCTACTTGATATAACCCTCTTTTATCCCCCCCCCCACCATTTTCACAGAACTCCGATGCCATTTGGCGGCACAACGGCCAGCAAGAGAGTCATCCCAGTTATTGGCTTTGAGGCCGTGGAGCCCCAGAAGCTTCCCGGCGTCGCCCTAGACCGCATGTGTCGACGGCCAAACTTCAACAGAGCGCCGAGGGGATGGGGACTAGACTACAGCCCTGAATCTAATGAGCTATGAGTGACTTAAGCACAAGCCTCTCTCCTCGAAACGGTCCCTCTGTTGATTGCAACAATCGAAAGGAGAAGTTGGAAGAAAAGAAAATAAGACTCCAGCATAATAGTGGTTTGCTACTAATGAGTGTTGTGAGCATACAGAGGCAGGCGATGAAGAGCAGTCACAGGTTCACAATGCCTTGCAGAAGTATTCACCTCCACCAGGGATAGGTTGTAAAACTAAATCCCATGTTTTTGTACGTCCAACAGAGCTCTTACATTCTGAAAATGTAAGAGGTGATTTATTAAGACAATGCCGTCTACCTAACCCAACAGGCCATAAGAGAGGAGTACGATTCAGAGAAGCAGCAAGGAGTCTCATAGTAACTCTGGAAGCGCTGCAGAGGTGATGCCTGAGGTGAAAGAAACTATTCACGGTGCAACTATGGGTCGTGCATTGCACGTATGGCCTTTAAGGAAGAGCAGCAGGAAGGGGAGCTAAAGAATCCAAGTAGTGAATAAAGGAAACGTGTGGAAGACCATGCTCTGGTCAGATCAGGCACGGAATATTTTTTCACCTACAATTAAAAAAGCTATTTTCGGTGGAAACCTAACCACCAACCCCATGCTGAAACAAAGCTATTTTTATCTGGGATACAGAAACCTGATGGATCCTAAATATTTAGTTTTAATGGTTTAGATTAAAGTAAATTCATGTGTTTATAACAGTCTAGTCAACGCTCAGGCCTGAATCTAGTTAACACTCTGTGGAAAAAATGTGAATATTGCCATCTGCAGATAGTTTCCATCTACTTTGACTGAGCTGCAAAGAGTAGGCAAAGTATCAATATCAAGATGTGCAAAGCTAGTTTCTGTCATTGCAGTACAAGGTGGTCGATCAGAAACACATGCTCCATTTTTCAGATTTTATTTGTAAAAAGACTTTAAAACCATTTATCAACCTCCTTCCGTCTCACACACATGAAGTGTGTGAGATGGTGTGTAAAAACTGCATTACAACAAAGTTCATAGTTGTGACAAAATGTAAACATGTTCAAGGGAAATGAATACTTTTGCAAGGTACTGCATGAAGTGATCCCAACATATTTTGACTCATCAAAACCCATCTGCCTCTCTAAACGGTATGTAGTAATAAATGTACGAGAAGATAATTATTGACAAGGGCGTCATTTTAATGAGAAGTGAAAATATGTAAAGAAAATTTTACAATAAAGTCAATATGATGTTCAAAATGAGATGGTGTCCAATAAAATAATTAAAAAAAAAACTCAAACTAGATGAAAATGAACAGATTTAAAAATACTTCTCAGTATTCAACTCCAGGTGAAAAAAAAAAAAAAAAGCAAAATGAGACGGAAACAAATTTACTCCAAAGACTAAATTCTTATATGTACAATGGTTCCATGTGGTCCTGGTCATATCGGCCTCATGCCCAGAGGCTGTTTTAACTGTTTGCTATTCGTTAATATTCCATAGTGCGACCAAAGTCGTCAAGTTAAACCCTGTCACCTCTCATGGCACAGAATTCATTTGCAGCTCTGTAGGTTGTATTAACAGGAGATAACTAATTCCTGTGCAGCGTGTTTTTTTTTTCTGGAAGCAGTCCTGTGGCCCGTAGAAGCCTTGAACATGCACGCAACCAACCAGGTTTGACATGAGAAACGCCAGAGAAATCTAAATCACAGCCCAACGTCACTCCGCGTTCGCGGCTATTCGGTGTGGCGTGAGCCGTGTGCCGAGTGGGCACCCATGCGCTGGGGATCCTGGGACGGGTAATGGATTGTACCAGGGGGTCTCATTGTCATGGGAGTGGGGACAGGTGGGGCCATGGGACCCAAGGGGTGAAACATCGGAGGGCCATAACCTGAGGAAAAACAAACAGTTTACCATCTTAGGCATCTGCATTCACTCTGCATCAGTGACACTGATCCAAGATCTCCTCCTACCTGGTGGAGGGGGGTTTATGCCTGGAGGTGGCGGTATAGCAATGTTCATGATGGCAGGTGAGGAGCTCGGGTCGAGGTTGAAGTAGTTTGCTGGAGCGTCTTCATCGAGAGGTGGTGGTGGAGGAAGTGCTGACAGAAAGAGGGGAAACCAAGCCTGTCACGGTCTACATGTATTAGGGCTGTATCTTACGATTGCTTCAGTAATCGAGTATTAACGATTAATCTGGAAAGAAAATTGCCACATTTTGTACAATATTAGAAATATTTTAAAAGATCCAAATAAACAAACTCCTTATTTAAACAAGATGCCAAAACATAGCCTTCCACAAGTGTATTCTAGACCATTTGTAGCAAAGGATGCAACTGAAACTAAATAAATACTTCTAAATACTTTTTTTTTTTTTATTCCAAAATGTGCATATTTTTGTAGTTTTGACTTAGTTACTGCTCTGAGTAAGTTGCTTTTTCAGCAAATTGCCTTTTTAGAGTTTGTATACTTTAGTTAATGATTAATTTATTACTAAATTAGTTGACGACTACTTCAATAATTGATTCATCACGATTAATCGTTTGAGTCGTACGTGTATATTGAAACTCTTCCGGTGGCTGCACTCACCTCCGGGCAGGCCAGGTACAGGATCCAGTATGGTTCCCATTTCACTCACTCCCTCCTTTCCATCCTTTCCTCTGGCTGCCTGAGACCTAAGGAGTCACACCATCTGCATTAGACGTCCGTTCATTAAACACAGGGTAGGAGCTGAAAGCAGCATTCGCCACAGACAATCTTCGTCTCCAGCCAACTCTCACTGCGTCAGTAATAGTCACCTTTTAACAGCCCTGTAGTTACCAATTTACTGACACTTGTAACAGCAATGCTGGGATTAGCTCAGACTGCTACACTCATTCTCCTTGAAAAGCACCTGGCATTTAACAAGCACATTATAGCACATCCCTCAAAGTGGCTCTGCTTGGTGCGGCTGCACGGGAGTTCAGAAGCGACTTACCTTCCCCACTTGACAGTGAGCCTCCGTCCATTAATGATTAGTTTGTTAAAGGACTTTTCTGCAGCCATCTCTGCTGCCTGCCGAGTGGCGAATTGGATGAAGGCACACTGCTGCCTTTGGACTATAGTAATGGTGCGAATTTCTCCAAATTGGTAGAAGTGACCCCTGTAGTGATAAAGAAACAGTTTGCTTAACAAAAGATAATGTCACCTAAAGACTATGAATATAAAATTCACTATCTGAAGTTGCAACAGCGCTTGCAATAAAATACTGACTTGAGATCCCCGTCTGTTACTGTATCTCCCAGGCCGCCTATGTAAAGAGTGCTGATGGACTTGTCCTCTGGTGGGTCCAGTCGGGGCATAGTTGAAGCCCGCTTCAATAACTTGTCAGCAACTGGGTCATTGATGCCGTAGTAACGATCTTTAATGTTCTGGTCAGCCAGAGGGTCATCAGGATCTGTAGGCTTCTCGTGCCTGCAGGTAAAATAACAAACAAAAAAAAAACAAGAAAAGAAAGAGGAATATATCACAAAAATAGAAAATAAATGTCAGACTGAACACTACACACAAAAAAAACATGTGTATTAAACCTTTTATACAATGCTGACACAACAAAAAAATATTACAAACAAAACGGGACACACACCCCTCAAATGAGTGGTCAAGTTAAAAATAAAACTAAAAAATGGACAAAAATTAGTTAAAAATGATAATGTAGATGATAAAAGTAATGTACTCAAGTAAGCTGATAATTTTATATGTGAACATGGTTGAAAATAGTCAACATAGGATTGCCATAAAAAAGACCAAGTAAAAATGTACATAGCAATATTATAAAGTGAAAATATAAAAATAAAAATTATTTATTTCGAATTATTGTTTAATTATTTGTTTCGAATTGACTAAGAATAACAGATATAGAGAAAAAAGTAAATAAATAAATGCATGTTATTTTATTCAAAAAAACTACAACACTTTAATCCATTCTTATGTCTTCAGGAAGGTCATTCAAGGGCCTATAGATCAACAAATGGTAAACAGATGTCTCCCTGTCTGTTTTAGTTTGGAGTTTTGAAATATTTAAACACATGCAACCCGAAGAAAGGATTGTTCTGGAGGGCTCATGCAAAAATAAAAGAAAAAAATCTGAAAAACAAAACAAACTAGCTAAGACCACTGAGAGCTTTGTAAACAAGCAAAATGACTTTAAAATCATCAACTTACCAAGTAGCAAAATGGGTTTCATTTATGACAATTCTACAATTCTTTGTGATTGTGGTTAATCACAAAGACAGCCTAATTGACGACTCAAAATAGTCAAAAAGAAAAAAAAAAAGATTTCGTCATAAAGCCCACCTATAGGGACACTCTTCTCCTCTCTTACACTCCCCCTTCACCCAGAAGGAGCAAATATGAGGCCGGTTCCTCTTGTAATACGGCGTAGTTCGGGCCAATTTGAGTAACATGTCGCTGGAGCTTGGAGCCTTACCGAGCTGGCCTACCGGTCGAGTGCCATCAGAATTGGCTATCTGTAAACACATATTTAAACAGAATCAATGACTGAGAACTGAAAAGTCAGCAAAGCAAACGACAAATTGGAGAATAAAGCAATTTTGACAAATTATATTCACAGGAAAATCATTATTGAACTGATCCTCTGAAGTGTTTCTGGTAGCTGGAAAGGGAATTATAAAAAAAAAATGCTGATACTACATGGTAAAATTAGCAGAAAATAAATATTTTGCTTAATTATAATTACTGCATGTATAAAAACTTGTTTTAAAGAGCAGTTATTTTGCAAGGTTACCTCTCTCTCCATGTTCTGTGTGTAGTACTCTTTGTTCACATCAGACCTGGGAATGTCGTCTTTAACAGTGAGGCCGGTGTCTCTGACCTGGATAGGCAAACCTGCCAACCACAAGATAAAACAGGAGGGTTAAAACCAACTTATGTTGTGTAAAACATGTCACACTGGTCAAACTTAGAGCAGGCAATCAAAGACTCACCATACTCCAGGTCAAGAAGGCATGTCTGACAAACGTTCTTCATTTTACTGCAGGTCTGACAGACCTCCGTCTTCTTAAAACGCATCCGTGTGCCCGGGCACCATCTGAACACGGTGAAGGGCCGAGCACAGATCTGATGGTCGAAAATGAAAACCTCAGGCATGTTCTTACAATCAAAATGTTGCATTATGAAGATGTCTCATTACATAGTGTAATCCAAGGTCAGAGTTGCAAAACATACCTTGCATTCTTTTCCATATTTCTCCTTGGTCTGTAAAATGAAGCAGGAACATGTTTACACCCCTAGAGCTATAAGCATGAGTTCAGTTAGCACAACATCCAGAACATAAAATCTTACCATACGGATGTAAGGATTCTCCCCTAAACATGTCTGGCACAGAATTGGGAAATCCTGGAACAGAAAAATCACAATGGGTCTTCCTTATGCAAGAAAACAACCACATTTTCTATTTTTATCTCTACTATGGACCAGGATTCTGTGTATTTAGCAAAGCTAGAATTAATGTGTACGTTTTCACCTGTTGATTTATTCACATTTTGTAAGTACTCTCAAGCTCACTTTTTGCTTCAGTATTGAGGCATATTCAAATGTGTGAACAGAACGAGTCCTGAGTCGAGCTCTCTCTCACTTTGCCATCTGTTGAAGGATGCCGTTTCAGTCAAAGTGCTTGCAGCTGAACATGACCAGGATTTAATCCATCCATTTCACACCATCAGCCAAACATCTAAATATAAGCGGCTCTGGTGATTTAAAACGTCAACTACATATTCTAAGGTTACAACCTTAATAGTCTGGTGTTTTTTGTTGTTTTTTTTAAACTAAGATCAAACACCTTGTCGCTAAAAACAACGTATTTACAGCTGTATCAAGTACTGCAACAAGCGGGCAAAAAGTACTGTTGTGTTTTATGTTCTAAACTAGCTGTAACAGACTTAAACTCGAGATCTTGCTTAGCTGCTTTATCTGAAAAGTTGGTGCTAATGCCAAACTGTTAGCTTAGGTATTTCCCTCTGAGGGCCACGCGGATACTATATTTACATTTCTAAGTTAAAATTATTAATTCATCTGATTAAATTGTAATACCACTGCAAAGTTGTGAGGTCAGTATTTTAAATACAAATTCTGAATGTAATATTTTACCGGACTGCGATTATTTTAGCTCTGTCAGCCTCCTAGCTAACCTTTTTAGCTTAAGTAGCTGGCTCTAATATAGCCCGTGTTCATATGAAATCCCAAGATAATTCTTTAGAGATCGACCAGGGAAGTTATTACTTCGCTCGTTTATCACTGAGACAATAGAGTCGTTTTCATCTATATTCAGTTAATATTCGCACAGCAGCCAACCGCGACATACAGATAGATGCTAACCTATAGCAGCCACGCTACAATAGCTAGCCGACAATGGCTAACGGAAACTACTACTCAAACTGAAGTGGTTTTAAGAGCTACTAAGTGTTGAGTTTTGGCTGCTACATATTTCATTCATTCCTACTCACTGTCGTAGAAAAACATAACATTGATTCGACATACCGCGTCTTCCCAGTTCTGCCTGTTGTAGGTGTTAGAGCCTAGGGAGGTCGCCATTTTGGAAAGTGTAAGCCAAACTTCTCAGCTAAACAGCTCAAAGCTAGAGAAATTACAGCCGCAGTACCTAACTTTGCCTTCAGGTGTCGCTCTGGTTCCAAAATAATTGAACAAATATGGCTTTTTGAAATGTTGAATTAAAATCACATTACATGTCAGTTTTTATAAGCACGAATTTATAAACGTAACCTTATCCGTTATTATAAAAATGTAATACAAATAATTGTTCCTCTCTCTCTGTCTACATATTTGTATATATTTTGAAAGAGAGAGAATGAATGAGACAATTTATTGCTGTGTTAGTGAAATAAACATTTCAAGACAAACACAAATAACTAAAGTACAACATGACAGGAGTAATTTACATTGACACAACAGTTTGCTTAGACCAAGAATGTGAAAGATATACGATTATGTTGTTCTTCAGTTGCAATATCACAGGTATAAATTTTACGTAGTTTTGCCTGCATTAGGTAAATGCAGGAGAAATACATTTAGCAAAGTCAAAACTAACATCCTATTGTACAGTTTTACATATCATTTGAGGCTTCTTTTTCCTTTCATCCAGCATGCAACTGCTGACTCAACTTTCATGTAAGTGACGAACAAAAGGAAGATATGGATTCACAGATCCCTCAGAGGTAATGTCGTCTATTTTTAATTTATCCATCCACTTGCCATTGATTCGTCCACCTGGCTCAATTCAGGACAGGGTGTCTTTGTTGTGTAAACCTCAGATTAGAGGGGCAAATGATGTCAAAGATTACAGCCGCAGGGCATTAAATCCTGGAAGTTTACTTAAGTTTAGAGGAAGGTTGTCGAGTCAAAGGGCAGAGATTGTTAGATACAAACCCAGGGAGCTGCCAAGGTCTTCTCTCTGTCAAACAGAGACCTGACAACTGTCGGTTTTACTGTAATAATACTATAATGACACAGAATAAATAGAAAAACAATTTCGGTCTCATTTTATTATGGTGCCAAAATAAAAGTCCTGGGAATCGCCTTCTCCAAAAGTCATGTGACTCTCTCAAAGTGTCATGTGACATGGACGAGACAGCCAGAGCTGTTTTCAAGGAAGACTTTGTCTGGGATTTAATCTCTTAGTAATGAAAAACACACACCTCTTTAGTCACAGGGTTTGTTGTTTAGGTATGTTAGAACCTTGTGTTCATCTTCTTTAAGTGAGGTTTATTTGTATGACACATTTCAGCAATAGGGCTTTACCTATAAAAACAGACCATGTACAAACAAACAAACAAAAAAAAATCACTACATTACAGTAGCAAAATAAGGAAGAGTGACAAAAAATAAGTAGCTGCTACTTAAAGGAACTCAGAGTTCAGCAGTTTTGCAGTTTTCTTTAAGTTTGTTCCAGAATATTGGAGCATAAAGGCTAAATGCTGCTTCTTTGAGTATAGGTCCGATTCTGGGGATGCAGAGTATAGACTTGAATCAGAAATCAGAAGTCCTGAGTGGTCTGGAAGGTCGATATAATGACAACAGGTCTTTAATGCATTTTGGTGGCAAGCCATTCAGTGATTTTAAAGTCTATTTTCTGAGCTACAGGGAGCCAGTGTAAGGACTTTAGAAATGGGACAGTGTTCTGGATCAGCTGCAGCTGTCCGATCGACCTTTCAGGCAGACTTATGAAGACACAAATTTTGGGCCTGTTCAATAATAGCTGTAATAACTGCAACTGTGCACTGTCCTTGCTTGTTCCTCTTTAGGTCCGAAAATAATCATGCCAGTTTTGTTTCTGTTCAGCTGAAAATTGCTATGACCTGAAGGAACCCCCCCCCCCCGAAAAAAACACTTCTTTTTTCCTTTTTCGTATCAGAATATTCTCTGTCATTATTTTTAATGGTGAATTCATATTCTTCAGTCATGAACGTGAACTTTCAGCTGAATAAAAGCACTATTCATTGTAATTAAACAACATTCATTCTAATCCTATGAAAATGGACCAGAACCCACTTTTTGAGGTGGCCTCGGTTCGCTTCCAAATAAACTCCGGTGTGGTATGCAGTGAATACACACTGAAACATCTGCAGGAAAAAATAAAACTATGGTGAAAAAAGGAGCCCTTCAGTGCTGCTAGCACTACTACTGCATGACCTGGTTGTGCTGAAATCGTACCTCATCCTCGGTTTTCTGCTTAGCGATGCTGCTGCCAGCATGTTGTGGGTCAGGGCACGCAGAGCATCTCGTCTCATTCAGCTTGCAGAACATATTTCCTGGCACTGTTCCAACGTTAGATATATCACATTGCAAAGCCTGTACTTGAGCTGCTCTTGACATTCAGAATGGTATTGCAGTTGTAATTACAGCACACATGTGGACAACAGAAATTCAGACTTCCAGAGTTTGTTTTGTCCAGGTATGTGCTCTCCCCCGCACCCCTCATTTCTGTCCCGAAGAAGCAATGGTCATCACCCCGCATGGTTTTGTTTACAAATTATAGTCTGCTTGCAAAAAAGTACAATGTGAAAACAAAATGCAACAAACAAACAAAAACTGATATAAAGTTACATCGACAAACTAGCTTTATGAAAATTTTGCTGACATACAAAGTATTGGTAGCCCCCTTTTGAAACTTTCTGGTGGCGCCCTTGACTTAGTCTGTACATTAACGCACTTTCAAGAAACACAAATGTAAAAAAACAAAAAACAAAAAAAAACCGCTGGGGGGTAATTCCAGCATCCATTTGCGATAAATGCTTTCCCACAATAGTAGGACACACAGCACGTCCAGGCCCCAATAATCTGAGCAGTGACGAGGAGCGGATGCAGATAAGCCAGTGCTCCTGAGGACTTCAGTGGGCTTGCATGCGCATATGAAAGGAAAAAATGTGCCGCGCTGGCGCCTCCTGAAGACAGTTATGGGCTACTGCCGGTGCTCAGAGCTGCAGAAAGAGAGGGGCTTTCTCACATTTCCCGATCTCTCCCGGCCGAGACCGCCACTGTGCCGCTTCCACAACACAGCCGACAGCGAGCCGAAGCGACGACCTGCACCCAGCGTGCTCTAAAGCCGTATTCAACCAAGCCAGCTCCGGCCCGGAGCAAAAATCTACTTAAACAAGGTGAGTACATCGACACACAAGGCGAGCCCGATCGGGGTTGCTCCTGTTTGGCTGCTACAGCACGGAGAAGCTCCGCCGCTCGGTCTCAGAGGCCGGGGCTCGTGTCTGGCGCAGACGGAGATGAGGCCAGCCTTTTTCGGCCCGACTCTCCCGGCTGGAAACACAAAGCCCCGGCGGCACGGTGGAGGCTTGGCGCGGCTTTCGGTTTGCCTCGTCGGGCAGCGTGATCCGGGGGGGAAGCTAGCGTTATTGTTGACGCTTTCGTCGGGTCGAAGTGTCTGTGCCCCGGGATAGAGCTGCGTGTCCGGCTGCTGTGCTCTGTGATTTATCGTCGGAATTCCTTTATGGAGTCGAGTCCCCGTAGTGCAGCCCGGGCAAAGCAAAGCGACACCCGAGCAACTTGTTTTTGTAACTTTGTAGCAGCCTGGATGTGTACAGCGTTATCTGCTCGACTCAAGTTATTGCTAGGAATCCGAGACATGGTGTAACCGTATAGGTGGGGAAACTGCTTTGTGTTCACATTAACATCCAGTTAGCCTGCAAATGAAAGAGGTGGACAAAAGATTAGAAAAGGAATGCAATGAGTGCTGTAACTTTCCATTAGGCTGGGAATGATCTGGGGGACTTAGCTCAATTATCATCTATGATAACAGAAGGGATGTTGGCTGCATTTTTAACAGGGTCTTATGTCAGAGCACAATATTTAATTCAAAGGATTATCATAACTCCCAAATAATACCAAGATCATACAATCCAACACTTCAAGATAATCATCAATTTGCAGTATTGCCTTTCAAATTACTGTTTGCTTGTTTGTTTTGTAAAACAGCACCGCTTATAAATCAGATGTTTTTCTTCTTCTAAGGATTATGACATCTACAAGGAGGAAAAAAAAATATCCTGCAGATTATGTGACATATGAGATATTAGCTTTGGGTCTAACCACTAACTATTGAATTATAATATTAGATTGATTAGAGTATCAATCTTTGTTGTTTTTACCACACACAAGAAACAAATAAATAGACAGACATTGAGATATTGTTGGTGGTGGATGTGTTTATTGACTAAAAATACTGGAGTTTTTAATGCATTTAATGAAAGTGAAAAAGAAACATGATTAGAGCTAAAATGCGCTTGCATATCATTTTTTTTTCTTTTTTGTGGAGATGTGTTGATTCGAGTTTCCCGATCGATACCATTTACAGATTTTTTTTTAAACTCTGTGATAAATAAATGGGAGGAGAATGTGCTGCAGGTTCTTTTTTTTTTTTTTTTGATTGAGAAAATTTTCGATCCCACAGAAAAGGAAGGAATTACAAGCATGAGAGCATGTGTCTCTAATCTGCATCAGGCAACACGGGGTTGATTAATGTATTCATTAACCGAAAATGCCTCCAGTTGTTAGTTTTAATGCATTTAATGAATAGGAAGCAAAATATCAGATTTTTCAGGACCTGATTTTTTTGGCCAGGATTGTGTTGGGGGCAGGGCGGGAGGTGACAAGGAATTTCTGATTTCAGTTTCACGTGCTCACAGAATACAGACATTAGTTACAAATACATACACTAAAAATGTAAAAGAAAAAGCAGACTGATTGGTGTATCTCTAATTTCTATTAGTACAACAATGAACAAACTATCGGATTACTCCCGGAATAAGATGTGGATTACAACGTACCTGAAGACCAACTCTGTGCTGCTGAATAATCTTATAGATGAATTATGAACTTTGAGAACTTTTACACATTTATTACCTAAGATTATAATCACTGAGATGGAGTTTCAGTTAAATTCCCTGAATATGAGCAAGGCAAAATCAGACATAAATACTGTTTGTAGAACGTCATTCCCCTTCATGAGTTTTCCTTCTTTTTTTTTTTTGAAAGTAATGTTGTTTCTCAAAAATAAAAATCCAGTTTTAGCATGTTTATTGCAGTCTCTTTCTGTCTGTGTCTCTACAGGTTGATAA